ATAGTCAACTTGCAAAATAAACGTTGGAATCCTGCGGTCCTTGTTTCTAGAGGAGGTGCAAGTCAGTGACCGTTGAGTGACGACATTGCTGGTCTGAACGGCGGATATCCTGAATCGGGATCCGTGTTTAATCGAGAAATGGTACGATGCCTGGAAAATGTAAAACGTCAGGCAGTCGAGACAGCCAACGTGTGCAAGGGTATGCGAGTAGAGTCTTTCTTCTGTACATGAGAATCACCACTAAGACTAGTTGATGGAGAGTAACATTTTTGGCTTAGTTGGCGCATTAATCTGAGTGAATCGCTGGACATTTTAAGAACGTTCGTACAGGTCGGAAATTCCCTTGCTCCACTAGAGGGGATGATGCACCAGGGAAACGAAATTCAATGTCATCGGCCGAGGTAGTCAGTTGATAAGTCACAAGTTGCGCGCGGTTCGGCCCAAAAAGAATGCAAAGAGGTCCAGCACCTTTCTAGAGTCGAACAGAGGCAGCAGAGACTTGACAAATATTTCGAGGAGAAAGGGGGTGTAGGGGAAAGATGGCGGCTGTATTTTGTTTGTTTTCCCGGCCGGCCGATGGCAAACAACTCCATCAAATCCGCCGTTCTCTTGCCACATTTTTCGACGCTGCACCCTACTGCCTCGGGTTCACGAAAGGAATCGATGGATGCGAATAAATCTGCCATCACTATCTTCAACCCAGCCGCGGTCCCCGAATGCGACCCAAACGCAGTATGCAAGCCAGGTGGCATTGTTGCAAAATCCTTGTCGACCGGCAAAACTTAATCTGGGCTCAGAGGGGAATTTGAGGTTCCGAGCAGCCTGTTGACGTCGTGGGACCTCCTCGCTTCACCAGTGGAATGAACGAGGCGATGTCGCCTCGAAAGCATCTGCGAATTTCCGAGCAGTTTGGGAAGCTTTCAAAATATCTTGCTTAGATGCGGACCTCGCATCTGTCGGGTCGCGTGTCTGGGTAGGGTTTTCGTCTGCCGTGGCAACAAGCGTTGGGAATACCACCGATCCGTACAAACGAAACACAAGAGAAACGTCCCAATCTGTACACTCTATTTCGTACGCGTTTTTTACTTTTGTGCTTGGTTTTCTTGACCCCGCTCTCGCTGCGCAGAGGCCATGCTAACTATGTCTCCTCCTTCTCGAATCCTCCCCGCGGTGCGCGCGGTCGTTGCGATCCGAGTTCGAAAGATGTTTTTCGTCGCGATCCTGCCGGTTCAGCGATTGGGTGCTGGTGGGTGGTTATCGCGTTTTCTGTCGTCATCGCTCGCCCTCAAATTCACTCGCTCTTCTTCTGCAGATCCTCGCTTCAATTCGACCCTTAGAACTTAGCCCGCTTTTGTGCGCGGCTGTCCTCCTCCCGTCCCTCGGGTGCAGGCCAAGCAGGCAGCAGCAATGGGGTTACGCTGCTATCACCACCGCGACGTACGATGCGACGACCAGATTCCGTGGTGAATGCACTGGGCTCGGCGATACTGGCTTGTGCGAACGCCGACTGTGCGTGCACTATAAGGTGAGGAGAAAATTTGAAAGCGCAGTCGAGGGAAAAGTTGGTGTCCGCGTTGCCGGGCACGTTGGCCGCGGCGATGTCGGTCGGGTTGGCGCGGGAGGTGACAGGGCCGGACTCGTTGCTGGCGACCTCCTTGGTGGCAGACTGGATGCGCCGCTCCTTCGCATGAGTGGCGGCGATATGAGCGACCGTGGCCTTGGCGGCGTCCTTCGTCCTCTTCACCTCCTGTTCGGCTGCGAACGCCCTCTCCTGCAACCTCGCCATCATCCCCGACACTCGCAGATTCTGCGCAACGGCCCTGGATGCCATTTCCACCGCTTCCGCTTTCCCCTCCTTGACCTCGGTCTTGAGCCTCTGCACCTCCGTCTTGAGCGCCTTGGTGCCGGTCTTGAGGGAGGTGATCTCGGACGCTTGTGTAGCCACGGCCTTCTTGAGCTTGAGCGCGTCGGCGAGACCCCGGCCGACGCTTTTCTCAGACTCATCCAGTCTCTTTCTGAGCGTGCCGATGGTGCCCCGCTGCCTGCGGATGAGGGCGACTTTTGCGGCGTCGGCGGCGATGAGGACCTTCTGAGCGGCCTGACTTGCGGCGGCGTCGGTTTGTAGTGCCGTGACCTTGGTTTTGAGGGCGTCGATCTCGGCCTGTTGGGAGAGGACAATATTGGCGTGGGCGACGTCGCGGGCAGCTTGGGCGTGCTGGACGGCCGACAGGTTGCGTCGGTGCTTGGCGCCGTCTGTGACAATCTTCTTTTGGAGGGTAGAGATGTCCTCCTGCGCGGCCTTGGCGCTTTTCAGAAGAGCGTCGATGCGGGTGGCCTGGATCTTGAAGAGGTCGTCCTTGGCCGCGAGATCTTCGACGAACTTGAGATCCGCCTCACGCGTCCTGGCCTCAAAGCGGTACACGTCTTCAAGAAGATCTTGAACTCCACCTAGCCCCATGGCGATGAGATTCTGCTGGCCCTCGACGGTGTCGATGAGACGAGCGGCGGTGGTTTCAGCGCAGTTCAACTGTTGACCAAGGTACTTGATGACCAGCTCCTTCTGGGAGTCGGCTTCTTTCAGAGTCGCCAGCTCAACCTCCAGACGATAGATGAGAAAACAGAGGTCGGCTTTATCGCCCTTGGATGCGAGGATGCGGGCGAGTTCTTTGTGGACGTCGAGGAGGGAGGAGGTGGCGGAGGAGAGGGTATTGTAGACAAAGCTCGAAACTTTCATCTTGGGGATGAGAGGGCTGGGGTAAAGTGGGCTGTGGTGGGAGTAAGAAAGCAAGAGTGCAATGTCTGTCAGCCGCAAATCCAGGACTTGGTTATTTTGCAAGCGACTGTCAGCCACTACCATTTTAGTCCGCGGAGCCGTCGGTAGTTTCCGAAAGGTCTTCTTCAAGTTTTGGGAGAAAATTACAACGTGTAAGACACCACTAACAGCCATTCCATTTTGCATGAACTGGTGGAGGCGAGTCAGCGACTGGGTCACTTGGCAGGAGACAATTTGCGGGAATGGGAGGGAGCTCCGAAACTTTTGCTTTTGCTTTAAGAAAAAATCGCCTAATTTTCACCAGCCAGCCGTTCAAAAAACCCGCATAGGTTCCTGGATACCAAATCCTGGAAGATCAAGACTTGAATTCAGGCGATTTCCATTTTTGGAACCGGGCGGTGATTGGCTGTGTTTGAACCGGGGGACATCGGACTGGGAAACGTGTTTCCAACGTCGACGCCGTGTCCCTCCTCTCTTTATATCCTGGCGGTGTTCTCAAAAGAGGGATACCATGCGGGCTATATAAGACTCTGTGCTGATTCTTGAGCCAATCCTTTTCAAGTTGAGAATCTTCTCTACAAATTACCAAGTTCGACATTCATGGGTTCCGGCATTTTATCCATCCCACGCAAGGACTTGAGTGGATCCGATCCCTGCAACTCTATCCTAGAAGTCTACTATATCTCAAGCAAGCAACATGGTGCTCGACGATGCGGGCAAGACGAAGCTTTTGTTCCGACTCAAAGACCGGAAGATTGCCGCGAGCGTACTTCCCGCAACCATACCCGCCATCGGGGACAACATCGAAATAATCCGGTTCCGGCGCCATAGCGTCACCCTTTGGGATTTCGGCGGCATGGACAAAATCCGGCCGCTATGGAGGAGATGTGTGTGCGTGTTGCTTCGGGCCCCTTCTTTGCTAGTTCATTTTTTCTGAACGCCTGTGCGATGGGACGGACGCGGATTACCCTGTTCTCGTCCTTGCGAACAAGATCGACGCTGCAAAAAGGGTGGATCTGGCGGTGCCCGCTCAAATACTCGATATCAATGCGCTTGTGGTATCGGGAAGGACGATAGCCGTGAAGGTAAGGATAGTGGATCTGTTTATCCAAGACATTGACTTAATCGAGGGACACAGGGTGTATCTGCGTTTACCGGGGATGGCCTGAACGACGCGCTGTAATGGGTTCACATGCTTATATGTTTCTTGAGTGGATGGCTGACGTGTTTGTAGGTGGTGGTCAACGTTTCGCATGAGCATATCGCGCAGATTGATCAAGGGAAGAAAGTCATGGAGGCCTCGATGGTGAGCGGTGAGCAATATCGCGCGCACTGACATACACAGTCCACAGGGGTGTTGAAGGGCAAAATTAATCCAACTCGTCTTACATAGAGAGATTCGGAATTCAAAGCGATATATCAAGAAGATATCGAGCGAGAGCTGGGTGGCCACTTTTTATCCGACGCAGCCTGACACTGAAGCTCTTGCTGCAACGGGGGCGCATCCCGGCTAACATACCACCGAGTACATTGCGCGAATGGTGCGGCGGCTGAAGCAGACTGCTGCCCGTACATGGTATACTCATACCGGGATGAACATGGATGACTTAGTCCTCGTTCAAAACACGAAAGTCAAGTTCATCTTGAGACACAGAATTTTTGCTACAAGCACCAGCAAAATTCAACATAACAATCAAATCAAATCATCCAATGCTGGGCATGCAATGAAGCGTAAGGTCCTGCGCGAAACGTATTCGTCTCTCAATGCACGGATGCTGCATGTTCAAATTTGGATTGGTAGTGGACTTACGTCTCAACATGCAAAATCTGCGACAGCTACAATATCTGTGAATTTCCGAACGTCGGCCGAGCTTCCCAAGCTTCAACCTGACTGTCACTCACAGGTTAAAGCTGGGAGTGGATACAGAAAAATAAACGGAACGCCATCATTTCGTTGACGTCTGCGTGCGACGTCACTGCGCAACAGCTTGACGATATGTGAAGATTTTTGGAGACTCCCTAGACGTTGTGCTGCGTTTGTCATATGGTCGAATTGGAAAGGTGTTCTTTCTTCATTGGGGTCTCAGCACAATGTGCCTCACTGTTGAGCACGATAAAAATAACCATGTGTGTGTGTTCGAAGCCCAGCCACTGCCAGAGAGAGGTAACAGGCCAATCCTGAAGCTTCACAGCGAACATCGCAACGCAGTGTTACTCGCCGGCCCTCAGCCACCCGATGGGATTCGAACCCTCGTCCTTCCGGCTACGCAATTTAACGCAGGCAGACGATCTAACCGCTGATCTATGGTGGCCCCAAAGAGCTGTGAAGCTGTACGGTGAATATGTATGGTCTTGGTCCAGCCTCGGACCGTCCAGGTGTATGGTGAATATTACGCCGCGTCTCTTTTCTGCCCCTCTATAATCATTATCTTCATCGGTAATGAATAATGTGCTTTGATTGGCCGCTTTATCTCAGTATATACTCTCTTTTACTCCGATATGATAAGATATTATTCGGGAAACCCAAGGGGAACCGGAAGCAAATCGGAATCAAACGCCTATTTCCCCGTGGGGAAGGCACGTCAGTAGTACTATTTAAAGACCGTTGACGCGTTGACCCCTTTTCAACAGCTCTTCCTTATTAACCGCCATGTCCTCGTACAAGGTTATCAGAGGAGCCATCGTTACAGAGATAGAGCGTCCGCAGTGGAAAGCACCTCTGCCTGACCTGCGCGACGACGATTTTGCCTCCTTCACTCCGCCTCCAGGGACCTCCCTCCAGACCGCACTGCCCGCCACCACAGTTCTCGCGTTACACAATCACCAAATCATGGGAAAAGGACTATTCGAGTTTGCGCTCCTACTCACCACCGAACCTTATTTGGCGTCCTCATTCGATGCGACACATGCTCATGGTACCGGGGTTCACACTTATAGCGCCATGTTCGTGTCCACGACCTCGCCTCGACGCCATCGCCGTTGGTTATCCTGCACAATGTCGGCCCCGTCGATGGCACAGCTTCACCTTCGCCGGCGTGCTCCCATGACACCTCCGAGGCTCACCCCACTCCAGTCCCTCCCGCTCCCTCCATCGCCGGCCCGAATCCAAGCTCATCGGCGGCCGATCGCGACACCGAGGCGTCTTCAACCCCGCGGCACGTGCAGCCATCCTTGGTCCCGGTATTGCTGTTTGATGACACGGGGAGACACATGTCGGTTGAGGAGGACAATATAGACGACGGACAAGAGGAAAACACAGACGGCATCCAGCAGAAAACGACGCCAACACCGCCCACGGGCCCTGTGCGCTGGCCGCTCGCTCCTCTAAGCCTTCAAACTAGTGTATGTATTTGTCTTGGGGATGTCCGAAAGCGATGTTCATTTGATGAGCGACAGGATTTTAACATCGCCGGCGCCGCCCATTTCAGCTTCCTCGCGCCGTTCAATGTCCATTCACGCGTCAGGTCGGCGCCCGCTCAGTTTTCAAAGCTTTAGGTCATCATTTCTTCGTTTTTTCATTTTTTTCGGCATTGTAACACGTAACAAATTGTAGCAAGAGCAAAACGTAACAGCAGCCAACGAATCGGTAAAATTCTCAGATTGTAACTGTAACTGGACGAATAATATGTACTGGGGTTCGTTAGCTATTGTATCCGATTTACAGCTCCATTGACTGAAGCCCTAAAGAGAGGATGAACATAGGATGCGATATTCTGCGTTCCCGGGACGGGCATGTTGCAATGGTGCAGGAAGCGATTTGAAAACGAAAAAGACAATGACAAAGGAAAAGGACAGCCGCGGGAAAGGCAGAGAAGAATTCGAACCGTGGGAACAAGTTACCAAGTCCGGCAGCCTTCGTCTCGTTTTTGTGGCGACTGTTGTTTGCTTAAAAACAGTATTCGATGTTCGCGAGCGTGATTACGCGGCGGAGTAAACAGGTTACCAAAGAACCGGAGTGCATGCCCTACGCCGCCTCCCTCTTCTGCCACTTTGGCGTACTTACTACGAAGGAGTGGGACTTATTCTTCTGAAAATGCCGTTCCGGACCGTCGGACCGCCGCCGAGTCGGCGGTCAAGAGGAAGTCCTGTATGTACTCGTCAAGGGCGTCGTACAATTGGGACATCCGGCGGGCCAGTTGATTTTGATTTTTTTGCACACAGCCTTTGAAGTTTGGATTCAATTGCTCCTACGTAGCAATTGGCACGAAAGAGCAAGACGCCTGAAAGGCGCCGAGCCGCCGCATTGATGCCGAACGGCCGAATATGATCGGAAGTCACTGATCCGCTTGATGATTCCGACCACTCACCGCTTGGCTCCTGCCTTCAACCACAACCGTCCCCAAGACCGACCGTCCCACACGCAGCAAAAGTCAATGAAAACTAGTTTGAACCCCTTAACTCACCTCGACCACAGAAAGCCATGCCAAATAAACTCACTCGGCTTCCCATGGATCAGTACGGCGTTTTCAGTTATATCCTGATTCCTGAACGACGATGCCCTGGTTCAAATTGCGCTCTATAACCGTCTCGGCACCGTGGAAAACGAATGGCAGAAGTCCTGTGCAATCACTCGCGCAGCTGAGAGGGTCCTCGGCGTCAACGACATAGAGCCCCACATTGTCGCGGGCGTTGTACACAAGGGCGAAGTCAGAACCTGCGCGGTAATTGCGTCCGAGAATTTCGAGGATCACCTGCCGATTCCACCCAGAGAAACCATCGAGAAACTAAAGAAGGCATCAGCTACCGACAAAGAACCCCGGTGGTATGTTCACGTATAGCCCCACTGCACATATACGACACGACCTTACAATATTTTTCTCCTTTACGTTCCCTCAAATGTATCGCTCGTTCATCATCTGCTTTCCTACTGCTCTCCGGGAGCAGTACGAAAGTACACATTGTACCATTTTTCAAATTCACGGATAACTTGCCTTTGAAAACGACCTGATGACATTTCTGGGAACGTCCTTCACGATTTCTATGACGCGAGAGCAACTACGGAGCGCGTACGGAGTACTCTCCCAAAATCTTCAGACTGGGCAGGGGGATAACAAAGAAAGATCGAGTGGTTACCTCATCAAAGTATCTCCCCGGATAAAATACACTGCGCGCGATGACAGTTCGAGCGTGCTCGATACCTACGCCATTTCTATGCCGGTTTTTCCGTCAATATCGCCGCTTCGCTCCGGTACTGAGTCCGTCGGCCGACCTGCCTGCACGAAATTGCGCTCTAGGCTGTAATGCCGAACGAGGAGCGATAGCTGCACGACGCTCAATGAACCATGCGGAGAAGACCTGATCTGCGGGACGGACGCACCAGAAACGTCGTCGCCGCGAGCGGTACGAGCATAACGAAAATCGTGCGCAGCGACCGCGACAACGCGACGACGACCTGTTGCCGGAGCTCTGGTGGCGTTATGAGCTTGATGTCCCGGTAGTTCCCCTCGAGGATGCTCGCTTGCGTTGCGGTGCCTACGAGGGCGGGGATAGCGCCCAGGCGCGTCGCAAGTTGGGACTGAAAGGTAACCCCGCCGATGGAAACTCCCAATGTTGTGCCAAGCGTACTGGAGGAAGTTATATGGGCGATGGAAGGAGTGCAGGCGCCTAAACTTACCGAACTAAATAGAACTAGGACGTTGTTTAATCTACCAACGCATCGCGATCAGTATGAATACGACATACCGCACCCGTACAAGCCGCCATGTCTTTTAGAGGCATTGCCGCCTGCAGAGCGATCAACGGCGGTTGGAACAGCTGTACGAAAGGAAAAATAAGGCCGGTTCACGCGAGGCGTTAAAAAATGCGCACAAAGCCCGTTCCCAGTCCCTGAATGAGGGAGAAACCCAACTCCTTCCCGAGGTTGGATGTCTCATTGAGTGTGATCAAGAGACCAGCACCGACGGTCATGAGTGCCGTTCCAACCCAGATATACGGCCGCGTGCGTTTCGTCACTGAGACCAGCGGACCGACGAGGATGGTGGTGAACGACCCACCCAGCGCGACGGGAAGCAGCTTGGCCCCGCTCATGAGGGCGCTGTCGCCGTTCACACCCTGGAAAACCACAGGTAGGTAGAAATTGGTGCCTGTGCAGCTTGGAATCAGCGTTTCGCTGGGAAAATAGACGACGCACACATAAAGCCGATGCCATGCAAAAAAGTGAGCCCAAAAAGAGACAGAGTCGTCCGCGTCTTGAGCAACCGCGGTGGGATGATCGCCATGCGAGTCGTTCTCCATTCGACTGCTGCGGCACAGGAAAGCAAGACGGGTCCGAGTATGATCAGCGCAATCGTCGCAGGCTGGTTCCCTACGAAAGCAAGTTAAGCAATTCACCTTCGACAAGGGAGGCCACACACATCCTTTATCGGACGCGATCGAAAATCCAGCGAGCACCGTACCCGTTCCGGACATGAGCAGGAATCTAGAAACTCGTTCAATCTTCACTCCAAATATGCGGATCGCAAGACGTACATGCCCAGAAAATCAAACTTCTGGAAGAACTCGGCCAACGTCATCTTCCTCACGGGGTTGAGTTTTAGGAAGAGGAGCATGAAGCCTGCGATCCCGCCGGTTGGGAGGTTGATCCAAAAGCACCATCTGAAAGGTACGATGAGCAATTCTCAGGTAAGTTAGTGGAAGCACAGACCGCCAAGATGCCTTTTCAGTGAGAATACCCCCGAGCAGCGGACCGAGTACCTAGAGCTCTTGAACACGGCTGCAGAGCATAGAATAGTGACGCTCACGCTTGCCACGCCTGGTTAAACAATCAACGCCATGTTTGGGTATCGATGCAAACAGCCCGCTTACCCCAACATCCACCTATTACGGACAGATATTTGCCTCGATCTTGGAGACTCACGATGTCGGACAATACGATCTGAACCATCACGACTTGTTTTATGGTCAGAAAGAGCGCACCGAAAGTGAAAAACGAATGACTCACTCGTTCCGCCTCCGCCTAAACCTTGCACTGCGCGACAGGCTATAAGAAAGGGCATCGACTAAGGAAGATGGTCAACAAATGATCGGGATATCAAAAGAGACATACCGTGGCAGCACCACAAAGCCCCGAGCCCAGCAGAAAGAGGACGATGCACGGATAGAGGACGGCCTACGTGCTGTGAGCTCGATTGACGCGTAGAGAATCGTTAAATTCTACCTTTCGACCAATAACATCGCTGAGCTTGCCCCAGAGCGGAATAAACGCGCCGGAGCAGAGCATCTGTTCGTTATCAGTATCAACGCTGGTGGAAAGCAGCAGAAACTTGCATATGACACACCCGTCCAACTGTAATCACTTGCAGTTCCGTGCAAT